AGCGTAGGGAGCCGTTGTAGCCAGTTAATAGGATGGCCATAATGATGTGGCCCTGATATGGCGAAAAGCAGCTGATGCTCTGAGCCCCAGATGAGCTGAAATTCTTTCATGGCCAGACCTAGCCATATTATTATATCATGTTATTATATCAATGGCACAATAGTGAGCTACATGCGAATTAGTGGGCATTATCATAGATGAACTAGCTAATGCCTCTTCATACACGAAATGGAGCTGTGCACAGTTAGAGCAATGGATGGACAAATAATTGGCATTGTGTAAAAAATTATTAAAGCAAAGCAAAAATTTTCCTTTTTTCCGAATTCTTTGAATCTTTTTCAAAAGCTGTCGATAATATTATTTTTAAATGTTGCTCTTAAAAGAACTGAAACGGAATATAATTTTGTTTTTATCTATTTTAATTTCTGATGAATTCTTTTATTGATAACTAATTAATTAAAATAAATAATTAATTAAATTCTTTAGTTCTTAGATAAATGAGTTCAAGACAAAACTTTTAGCTATGGATATTCCTGAAACATATTTCGAATTTATAAATCAATTATTAATTTATATTTATAATAAATGCCCAAACTTTATATAAACTTCTTCTCTTTCGCTCTCTTTCTCTATCTGTCCCTCTCTCTCTCTCTATCTATCTCTCTCTCTCACTCTTTATCTATCTCTCTACTGCCATTCATGCATGGCTTTATCAATTTTACTTAGGCTTCATTGCTTAATGGTTTGCAATGGGTTTCTCTTGTCATTTCTCATTCAATCATTTTGTAGAAATGCGATGAATCAATTAAAACGACTTACAACTGAATTGTGAACGAAATCAACCAAAAATCGATTTGCTACATAGCTTTTCGCATTTGTCACAGGCATTTGGCCCCTTTTCAGTTCGGGGCGTGACACTAACCCTTGAGTTTGGCCAACATTTTCGCCATATTGCCCATAATTATGATTATTTCACTGGTTTTTATCGCAACACAATTTCAAATAGATGGAGTGCGAGTCGGTCGCATCAGCTTGTCAACCGTACGGGCGGATGGTCAACCCTTTTTTCTGGCCCACGCACATAATGCGATAAATAAAGTCATTCAGGCCAACAACAACAACAACAACAACAAAAATAAATAAATAAATACAAAATAAAAGAGGACAAACGACGAGCGTTACAAATTGAAGTGTTGTAAAGTGAACAACGAAAAACCGAAAAGTGCAATGGAAAATAAATAGAATAAAATCGTTTAACACTCAACTCAAAAGCCAAATGACAATTTGACGAATTGAGAGAACTTTTCGACCCAGCCAAAAAACACACACACACACACACAAAATAGAATAAAATAAATAACGAGGGCACAAGTGAACAAAAATACACACACACAAACACACAGTCACACAACAAATATTTCACCCATTCGGTTTGATTTTCGTAAATGGCTTTCAACTAATTTTCAACAGAGAGACAAACAGACAGACAGACAGACAGGTGAAGGCTTTGGCTCCCCCAATCGCCCCCAATCAGCGAATTGATGGACAGGCATTCGAGGCAGAGCTACCGAGCGTCATTTATTCAGTTCCGAACAATCGAAAGTGTCAATTAAAAGACAGCAACAAATGGCAAATGCCAAGTGCCCGCCGCAATGCCAACATCAAACGTTATTATTTTATTATATTTGATTTAAATGTTTCGAAATCGACATGTGCGAACTTTCCCTCCGGGTCGAGTCAACCCTCCAGCTGTGATTTGTGGTCGTAGCTCTTCGATTTTCAACTGCCATTTCGATTGCCTTTTCCATTTCGATTTCCATTTCCATTTGAATTTCCATTTCAATTGCTATTTGCGAAATATGCGTGAATTAAAACAGATGTCAGTCGTACCCCTTGGCGGTCGGTCGGTCGGTCGGTCATTGATCCCCGTTTCATAACGTGCTCTGATTAATCTCACCGACTTATGCTTAACTTCCCCAGAGACTTGGCCTAATGCGCCTGCTTTGTGTTCAGGTTGATCAAAGCCTTGGAGCAAATACGAAAAGGCGTCTATCATCCGACTACCCGAGGCGTTTGTTTATCTTATTGAATTTCTGTTTATGCAACGCCTTTAAATTAAGACTGCAATTGAATTGCAAATCGAATCGCAGCTGCTAGCTATATGGCTGATTGTCTAGGTGAAGTCAATTTATAAATGAAATAAAAAATAATAATGAATAAAATTCATGAGAAATCAATATAGTATATATCTTACTCTATTACTATTTTCTTTTTTATATCTATATTATTTTTAGAATTTTTATATACTTACCTAAGTACTTACTTGTTGCTTCCATATCAATTTAATTTAATCTAGACTTCTTATAAAATACTAAATGAAGTAAAAAGCAAATAATTCGAAATTGTTTTAAACAGAAAAATTGCTACGCCTCAAATCGAAAAATATATCTGACAGCATTTGAGCCGTGAATGAGTATTCGGCAGTCGGTAATGCCCAACTTCAATGCACTTACTCCACAAACACATTGGCTTCATGATATTCAGAAAAAAAAGTCAAGGACCCAATCAAATAAAAATGAAAAGCAAACAAAATGATTTTAAACATATATAAGAAAAACAAATGGAATTGTTTTTAAAATTTTTCGTTTTTATTTCAAATTTTATATTATATTTAGTACGCGTTTGTTTTAGTTGCGCTTGTATGTGGTTTTGTTTCGTTTTGTTTTTTTCTCTCGTTATTTATTACCCATTTTGTTAATTGTCATGTGTTTGCTTTGTCTGCAATGTGCATCGATTTTCAGACGCATTGCTACTTAAATGTTATTGAAATAATTTAAATGTATTATTTTGGTTAGCGTTAATTATAATTTGTGATGCCATTGTTGAAATATGTATTCGGTTTTACTTTCTTTCATACTTGCGCCAGCCAATTTCTACCGTTTGCACAAATTGTTTGCAATTGGATTAATAAACGAGAGAGGAAAATAAATAAATGTTGTTGTTCTTCTGTTTGATTTTTGTTTAAATAATTTAATATTAAATGTATATATTCATATTAATATATATTTAAGTTGCATTGAAATTTACACTCATACACGTTATAAATGCAATTAAATTAATTTAGAAATTAAACTAGTCTACGAAATGAATTTGCGCAGCGACAACAAATCGGAAATTCGTCTGCAAAACTTTGCCATAATTTACAGGAAAAGAAAAGAGGAAGAACATAAAGAAATGTTTACAAATATTATATCAATATTTTCTTTTGTTTTGTTTTGTTTTTTACAGTGTACACTTACGCCTTACGCTTATTAATTTTTACAAAATGTAATTTAAACTTATTTACTTATTATTTAATTTTTCTCGCTTTAATTAATATTATTTTTTTATTATTATTTATACAAGTCTTGTAGTTAGGTTTGTGATGTTTGTGTGTCCAGTGTTGTCTAGCTGCGGAGAGTGTTGCAGTGGGTATCAGTGTTATGACCAGTGTTGGCAAACATGTTGTGCAATTGGAAATTCGGAAAGTCAAGAACTGTGCAGAAAGTTTGGAAATCTGTATATATGTATACATATACATATATATATATATGTGTGTACTGATTAGTATATCTTTATATATCGCTCCTTGTCAGCTTATAATTGTAATTAACCATTTAAATACGATTTCTTTAAAAATGTCTAGCTTAATGTTTAGCTCGTTTATTGCTGTTATTGTTGATAATTTGAAAACTTTTCGAAGGTGTTGCACAAACATTTGAAATACCTTTTTATGTATCTGTGTGATTGATTTTTTTTTTTTGCTACTATTTAAACTACTTTTTTTCTGCACGTTGTGTGTATTGGCTTCGTTTGTGTCGGTGTGCGTGTATGTGTTTCAATTTTTTTGTCGTGTTTTTCTTTCTCCTTTTTTTTTAAATATTATTTTAACGCCTTAGTTAATAATTTATAAAATGCGGTGTTTACATTTATGTGTGTGTTTTCCTTTCATTATTTACTGATTTATGCATTTTTTCGTGTTTTTTTTTTACTTTTGTTTAACTACTACGAAGCTACTACGATTTTAACTTTTAGTACTTGCTGTGATAAATTGTATGCGCATTAAACTAAAAAGGAACATATACATGATTATTTATTAATTATACATTAATACATTTATTATACTCGTATATATAGTTGATTTCATTTATATGCTTGTATCTATATATAACTGTATATTTTTATTTAATTCATAGTAATTTTTTGTTATAGTCAGAGTCATTTTGTTGTCGGGTTAAATTATAATTAGTATTTAGAACTGAATATATTTTGTAGATTTTCATTTTTTTTAATACGTGTTTTTTTTTTTTTTTTTTTGCTATAAGTAGTTGAATATATATTTTTTTAATCACAAATCATTGATGAAAACTTCATTTTAATTGGTTTTAGGCGATGACGCTCTGCACGCTCTCTTGGTCCGTTAAATTCCGTTACAATTTTATCATCATCATCATCGTCATTATCATCAACGTCTCTACATAATTTTTGACGCGGCATTTTTCATCTGCTGGGTAAGCAAATAATCAAAGTATCTCACGGATACCCTTTCTCTCTATCTATCTCTTTCATTCTCTCTAAATTTATACACAGAAATTTACAGTGGGGCTTTAAGTAGTTGGATATAGTTTAGGGCTAAGGAGTTGTACAGGCATTTACAGTTAGTTTTGCATATTTTTCTTTTTCTTTGCTTTTCGTTTGCTTCTTTCGGAAAGGTACTAAAAATCAGTTGAACTCTATTATATATGCTAGTTACTTTCATCTCATTATTTAAACTATTTCTTCGCTTCGTTTCGTTTTATAAACAATAAGTGTCGCTAAATGCTAGACCTTAAATTCGTTTTTTTTTTTTTTTTTTTTTTCTTCATATTTTTCTTAAATGTTCTGTTCGATTGCATTTGATCTATGAGAAACTAGTGCCGTGTTTTTTTTTTTTTTTTTTTTTAAATTGGTTTTTTTTTCTGTTTTAATATAAATTTTTATTTGTTGTTGATTTTCGTAGGTTTGTTAAAAATTCAGCTCGCTTTACTATCATATGCATTTTTCACTACCTTTATCTTGCACGGTGATATATACTAGGTATACATATACATATATATTTATTTACAGATTGTATTCTATAAGTTGTATCATTATCATTATCATTATCATTTCGTTGGCATATATTCGACGCTACATTTTTGCTTAGATATTCGACTTTAGCTAAATTTTGTTTATGTTTTATTGTTTGTATTTAAATTTTTTCTTTTGCTTTAATATCTTTTTACCATTTGCTCAGTGGGTTTAATTGTTCGACGCGTTGTGCTCTCCATATAAGGGAGGGGCGGGTTCTAACACAATTTACGGTACCATACGATAGTGAGTACTTAACACTGCTTTATCATATTTTGTATTTTCTAGTTGCATGTCCGTGTAGAGTTCAATAGCTGTGAATGATAACAAATAAGAAGGAAATATTTAATACCAAATTACTCATTATTTTAATATATAAAAGATCTTAAGAAGTTGAATGTGTGTGTGTGTTTTTTTTTTTTTCATAATAAAATAAAATTAGAAATATATACCTTTATTTTACATAATAAATAATTAATATATTTTATATACAAAAATAAAAAAATAAAAATAATAATAATAATAATAATAATAATAATATATTTAATAATTAAAAAAAGTAAATCCGTACAAAATTATTGATTTATAATAAAAATATATATCTTTTATAAAGTATCCTTAGAACTTAATACATTTTTTATAGTTAGTAAATTTATTTTTAATATGTTTAGGAAATTTTAGAAACAATATTATTATTATTTTTTTGTAACTTCTATCAACTATGATTCTTAAAGAAAAGGTTTCTGAAATTTCTGGAATATTTAATTGCCTATTTAAATCATTTCTCAATTTCTATAATTTCAACTTTTTAATATTTCTAAATTTCTATTTCTGAGTTTCTGTTTCAACATCTGAACTCACCTCAAATCCATTTAATATGGGGTTTTCATCAATGATACCACAGCCTGTTGTTTTGTGTACGCATGGCACCATTTGCCAGCGGGTTGGCCGCTGCAGGTGCCGTTCCAATTCCAACTCCAATTCCAATTCCATTTCCATTTCCGTTCGTATTTCCAGTCAATTTTGTTGCATTTGCAGTGGTTGTTGTTGTTGGTTGGTTAGTCGAAGCTTCACTGTTGACATTAGCGGAGCCAGCTTTTAGTGCCGCAGTTCTGCTCAGATGCACGCCCACATCGTCGGCGGGCGAGTGTCCCGTTAGCGTCGGCCTCTTATAATCGGGAGCAGCGCAGCTTGCGGCTTCTGAGTTGCCCACGTCGCGTGTCAGACGCAGCGCCTTCAGATGCTGCCTCTGCTGCTGCTGCTGCTGCTGCTGCTGCTGCTGTTGATGATTGTCGCGCATCGATGTGGGATTCTTGTTGTATTTGTTGTTGTGCAGCGTCAAGCTATATTTGGGCTTGGCGGCCAGTGTGTTGGTGCTGCTGTGGCCGCTGCTGTTGCCGCTGCTGATGCTCAAATGCTGCGGCTTCTTGGGCATGGTTGTGGCGGCATTGGTGCGCTTAATGCCGGCCAGATCGCTGCCAGCGACGGCTGCCTCCGCTGCTGCCAACTTGAGCGAAGCTTCGAACTAGAGATTATCAGGATAGCTGCGGAAATTGTAAGTTCTGGCGCGTTGAAATTCAGCTGCTGCTGCAGCGGCAGCCGCACTATTGCCACTGGTATACGGATTGATCATGGGCGCTGTCGACTGGGAATTCATGGTGCCCATGCCATCGTCATAGATGCCATTCAGCTGGTCCTGATTGCTGTGGCTGCTCTTGCCGCCGCCGCTGCTGGCCGTATTCGTATTGCTGCCGCCGCCAGCCGAGCCGCCCTTGATGGGCTTAAATATGGCCGTGGTCGCATAGTATTTCTCCATGGGCGGCGGCGGCACCGTGGGCGGCCTAGGGAATATGCTGCTCAGCGGTGGCGGCGGCGTTCGTCGCACATTCACATAGCCGCCGACGCCGGCGGCATTGGCCATTTTCGAAGCCGGCATGTAGTCCTGCATGTGGGGCACGGCGTAGCCACCTTCGGGCACATCTGTTGGTCGCGGGGGAGCGAACGAAAGAGACGCAAAAGGATTTCGCTTAGTCAGGCAAATGGCAAAGGTGGAAAGGTGCGTGTGCATGTGTGTGTGTATGTGTGTGACATGTGTCTATGCGTTTGTGTGTGTGTGGCAATCGCCGCAAAAATTTATTTGCATTAGTTGCTGGCGGCGCCATATTTTATGGCTCGCAGCGGAAATGGGCGAGCCCAGGGAATTGGGCTTTGGCTTTGGGGTTTGGGGCTCTGTGGCTCTGAGGCTCTAGCCATTTGGCATACACACCTGTATAGTCTGGCGTCATATTACATTGTAAATCATTAACCGCTGCGTAACCGTTCACGCCGCTCGTATACATGTTCACATTGAAGGGCTCGTGGTAAAGGCTGTTCTTGCCAATGGAATCGTTGTCGTCGACGCTGGCCTGCAGAGAGAAAGAGAGAGAAACAGAGTTTTTAATATAGTGCCAAAGTGGGGGGTATATAGTTATATATGTATGTATGTATGTAAATTATGTGCGAGCTAATGGCGTCTTTGAGCTCTTTAATGTGTTTAGTTCGCTGCGTGTTTAATCAATGTCTAATGTAGGTTTGAATGCATTGAAGCTAAACTTGCTTATTTAATCTTAAAAAACTTAATTTAATACTATACTATCATTTAGTTTTCATTTTACTTAGATTTTTTTTTTTTTTTATTGATCTCATCTCTAAAATATATAAAATTTAAATTTAAATGATTTGAATATAATAAGCAGATCAAATAAAAATAAAACTCAAATTAACATTAAAATTAAAATCAAAATTTGAATTTCAATTAAATATAAATTAGAAACATTCATTAATTAATGAAACATTTTTTTGAGTTTTGCCTTAACTAAATATTTCTTAAAAATTTCCCTATACTTTTTAGCGATATAGGAGCATACATTAATTTTATATATTTGATTAATATATTGTAAATCATGAAAAAATAAATAATAAATAAATTAAATAATTAATAAATAAATAAATAATAATAAATATTATTATTAATCAAAAATCAATACAAAAGTAATTATTTATAATAATTAATATTGATTAATTACTAATAGCCAAAAAAGAATTATCGATTAACTAAGATGAAAGTAAATTGTTTAGTTAACTTTTGATTCTGATTTGTTTAGTAACTTTCTGATTAACTTGATTCGCCTTAAGTTTGCCAACGCAAACAATTTTCTAAGAGTTTCCGTAAACTCAGTGTTACATCTATAAATGCTTCTTTTCCTTCAACAAATTTTCCAAGTTCCATCAAAATTCTATATCTTTTATATGTGTTTTTTTCCAAGAAACATCTTTAAAGAAATTGCCTTAAAGCAGTTGGTTTTGATGGCCTCTATGAACTGCGCACACTTCCAACTTTAAAGTGTTACACAGCCGGCACTTAAGCTTAGCACCCACAAGCTGGGCCAGCTGGGAGGCGAGTGCTGGAGCTGCCGGACCCAATGGGAAGCCGTTGAAAAGTTCTATTAAATAAAATAAATGCCGCTCGGCGTCTGGTCAAGTGTGTCCTGTGTCCTGGCTGAGGACGTGGCAGCGCCACGCTACATTGAACAATTATGTGAAATTCGAGGCAGGAATTTGTTCGCTTTATATATACGTGTGAGTGTGTGAGCGTGTGAGTGTGTGAGTGTGTTCATATATGTATGTGTGTGTGTGTGTGTTTTTTTCTCTCACCTTAATGCTATTGCCATTGGGCCGATGCTTGTCGACATTGCCGCCCAGCGTGTTCGGATTGAAGCTATATTGGAATGCGTCGAGCACATTGCTGCCGCGTGCTCGCTTCGTGCGTGACACGATGAACAGGATGATGGCGACGAGCAGTATAATTATTGTGGTTAGAACAACAATGACAACGCCAATGAAGTTCGCCTCGTTCGGCTCCTGATCGATGGGACGCGGCGCAATTACTGCAAAACAAGAAGAGAATACAAATAATCGTTAAGCGACAAGGTGAATCAACAGAGGACGCCAAATGCAAAGTGCAACAAATGGAATTGCAATGGAATTAAAAGTAAATATTGTTCAACTAAAATAATTAGCAAAGAGGCCGAATGAAACAGAGAAAAAAAAATTAAAATAAAAAAATAAAAAACAACAGAAAATTGCTAATTGAATTTATCAGGTGACGTTGCTGCTTACGTTGTGGCCCATTGTTGTAGTTGTTGTTGCCGTTGGCATCAGTGGCGCCGCCGTTTGTGTCGCCGCCAGAGTTGCCGCCGTTCAGCTTATTTTTGCCATGTTGATTGTGCTGATAGTCGTTGCTCTGCAAAGGATATTCGCGTGTATCCGGCGCGTTGCCCGGCGCATTGTTACGCTGCTCCTGTTCGTCTGTGAAATTTCCCATAGCTGGCACTGCAATAGAGAAAAGGAGGGAGTGAGTAAGAGCGAGTGGTATACAGTTATATGAAGTGCCGTTTGTGGCATGAATCTTCAGCTTCATCTTCAAAAGTTGCCGCCATTGCGCACAGCTGCGCTTTCATGATTAGTTTTTTCTACTACTTCTTCGCCTTCTTCTTCTTCTTTTTATGTCGCCCTGCACACCTTTCGTTCCACTTTAAATTGTTTTGCTTTCGCTACGCTTTTCTTTCGAGACCTCGAACGTGTTCATTTCCTGTCCAACCTTTAGGGTTTCTCTGTTTTGTTTTTTTCTTTTTTTCGAATGTCTCGTCTCGAGCATTACTAAATTTTTACAGATGTTTGATTTGAACGCGTGTCTTATGAATATGCATGGTGTTGTTTTAATGATCTTGTGCATATGGCGCGACCATATAGATTCTTGGCCATAACTATAACAGTTTTCTTTTTTTACCTACCCAAAATGTAGAAAATCTACTATGTTACCCATATATTATGTGCTATAGTAGTATTGTTCACTTTTCGCTTAGGTTTTGACACATTTTTAGCTTTCTCTTTTAGTCTAGTGACTAGCCAAAGAAGTAGTAGTGCTGTAGCAACCCTATATCTTGAGTTACAATAGGTTTCTAATGCTATGGAGCATGTTTTGTCTAAGGCTTAGCATGCATATTATGATTTCTAAATGTCTTTTTCCACCCTCAGTTGAGTTGTGCTCCGGCTTAACAATCTGACAACATAAACATCGCCAGGCTGACCTTATTCCCAGGGCTATTCCGCTTATTAGCTCAGATCTGTCAGGCGCTGCTGCAGGCCGTGCAATACCAAACACCTGCTTGTCAGGCCGTTCACTTTGATCTCTAATAACCACCGGCGCACAGGCTTAGAGCATATGGCTCGGCGCTGCAAAGTGTTGTCATTTATCTTGGCTCAACATCTTGAGGGCATTAGAAAACAAAGAAGTAACGGACGCACAACTCCTGCCGAAGGGGATGGGGACAGCTTTTTGCACAGAGACGACGCCTCCGGCTAGCCGAAAAATGCCTTCTTGAGTGGGTGACCCCGTTTCTTCAGACAGTAAATGGCGTAATTACTGTGAGAAGTTGTTGTTGCTGCTCTTGTTGTTGCTGTTTTGAGTTATGTCGCCTGCTCGGACAGCAGGAGCAGGAGCAGGAGCAGGCAGCAGCAGGCAGAAGGACACGAAGCACTACGGCTAGGCATGCGACTGAAGTTTGTGCTTGGCTGCCTTTTGTTTCGCCTATGCCATTGTCCTTGCTGTTGTTATTTAATTCATTTTCCTTTTTTCCTGCTGCTGCTCGCTTCCTACTTATAAAGGCATATCTTGCATCTCTCGGCTCTCAGTGGTCGTCATAAAACGTTTAAAATAATTAAAATATTTCGAGCCACATTTATCACACACTGTGCCAGGGTTAGCTGCTAGCACGAATGTAATGGCAAACATGCCGCATATCCTTTTTTATTTTCGCATTTTCTCTTCACTTTCATTGTTGTTTTTTCTCTCTTCTTCTTCAACTTTTTTTTTTTTTGGCTGCTGTCGCATGCCCTTTTATAACTAATTCTCTTTGTGTGCGTGTGTGTCCTCGGGGTCTCTATTCTCTTGCATTGTTTTTGGGCCTTTGTATTTTTAGAAACCTTTAAATACAACTCCATAAAGAACAACAACAACAATGAGAACAGCAGCAGCAGCAGCAGCAATCACCGCAAGCAAATCTCACAAATTGGGGTTAAATCTCTGCAGTGGCTGATAAAAATATACGCACACACTTGAAAGATGCTGCCCCCTCTCTGTCTCCCTCCTGTCTCTCACCCCCTCTCTCTCTCTTTCTTTTTGTCAGTACGTGCGTTTCTTTTGTTTACCCTTACCCTAGTTTTGCCAGCCCCTTCTCATTGTACTGCACAAAAAAAAAAAAAAAAAAAAAACATCAACAACAATGAAGAGTGAAAAAAATAAAAATAAGAACCAGCTAACAGCTGGTTGCTTGTTGCTGCTGTGGCTTCAGCTTTGGCTGCCCCCCAAGCCCCTCGCGCCCCGCCCCTCGTCGGCCCCCCGCCCGCTCTACCTCCTTGTGCGTGACAAATGCGCCGTGGTGCTTGTTACTCGTCATGTAATTGCTGCCAGAGCAGCGCAGCATGTGGTGCAGCCGAGTTTCGGTCTGCCTAACGCTCTGTGGTTTTTGCGTTCTCGCATATCCTTGGCTCAGCGGCACAGCTGCTGAGACATTGAGCACCACCCAATTGGATGAATTTCCCATTATCCACACACACACACACACACACACACAAAAAGTGCCTTGTAATGCGTGCTAAAGCACTTGAAGTAAACGCTGATCCGCTGCCGATTTTTTGAGTGTCAAAACCTTTGTTGTGGAACCCTAGTCCTAGCTATGGGTATGCATTTCTAGAGAACTGTGATGATTGACAAAAAAAAACTTGTGGTAGCATAATAACAATTGTGCTTGATGTCATTCCAATCATTTATGCTTTGACTCTTCGAATCCGGTAAAACTGAATTTCAGATTAACATAAAGTAGTCGAAGACTGAACTCAGGTGACTATTTTAAATAAGAAATAGCAAAAAGTTTTGGTACTTACTAAATTCGTTAATTGTGATTAAATAAAACGGTCAGCCAAGCTCTTGGGCAACCAATGAATCGATCAATCGATAAATATCGAGCAGAATATATTTTTAAGTAATTTTTTACCGCTTAGGACTCTGTCTGCTTGTTAAAAATTTATTTAAGCTGCCTTTAAAGCTATCTCTGAGTTTTCTTCAACTTTTTCAAGTTTTTAGATCAACTTTAATGAAAATGTATTAAAGTTGTGTATATAAAAAAAATCTAAATTTCTATATTTTTAATGTTTTTTATAAAAAAAATTTACTTCTAATACAGTGGCATTGAATTTATGAGTTCTTTTAGTTTTAGTTATTTTCTTACTGTTTTTTTTTTTTTTTTTTTTTTTTTTTATGAATAAAAAAGTTTTGCTTTCCATTAAGTTAATATTATACGTTTGAACTTTTTTTTTAATTTTTATTGGGTAAAAAGTAATGAGCAGATTAAATTTTTATTTCACGTTGGGACAAATAAGCTGTGAGCCACAGTATGTAAAACGCTATAGGTGCCCTAATTTCAGGTTACATGATTTTAAAGTATTTAGCATTGGTGAGTTTATAACAGTCCCGAATTTTATTTTAGGATTTCTCATATCTTTAAATAAATCAATATTTAATCTCATTAATTTTGTTCTATTATATTCCTCCCTATAATAAAATTGATTTATTTTACTCAATTTCTTAGGTTTTTATTGCGCATTTCCTAGCGACCCTCTTTGATCCTGGCATACCTTCATAAACTTATCAAAGAGCAGCTTGCAATATTTTCGTTATATTCGTTTCCTTTATTTGAGATTTCTATGTCCCTACAACTTTCTTCCTGTTTCTATTCATTGCAAGCAAACGCATTTGATATTGAACTATAAAAATCTCAGTTAGGGTTTATTGGCGACTTCCTTCATAAATCCATTAAGCCTACGCGCACCGCCATCTGTAGAAAATCCCCTATTTATGCGGCACGCTCTATTTGACTCATCAATCAAATGCCGTTGGCAGACTGACTGGGTTTTCATACCCTACTCATTTTCACACCTACCGCGCATGGATTTTCCATTCGCCGTCTCCCCCCTCCACACTGAATCAATGAATATGAATGATCTGCTCGGTTCAGTGACCGATCCTAGCGATGTTAACAGCATTGTTGCCCATGAACAATTTGTGCCCGACCCCTCGGCAAATGTGCCATGAAAATATTGTCTAAATATCTGTCGAGGGTGGGATAGAGCCAGGGGCCGGCGTACGGGGGTAGCCTAAATCTTTGTCGAAGCATCCTTGCACTTGGTACAATTTAATCAGTACTGGGACACGCTCGGCATTCATAGGAAATGTAGCTGAAAAATGTCATGCATCTGCATGCATCCTGTCAGTGCTTGCATTGTTATTTAGGGGGTTGCTGCTACCCCTAAGCTCGACCTGCTGCTTGTTTACTTTTGCATGCGGAGGGACCACAGACAGAGAGCCGGGCCCAACGAGTCGGAGACCCTTCATTCCGTTTCATGGACTTTGGGTATTTTATTGACTTTAGCCTCCCCACACGAGCCGCCTAAACAAAAATGAAAAGCAAAAACCAAAAAAAAAAAAAAAAAGAACACGGAAAATTGTCCTAAAGAGATTTTCCCTTTCGGACCGCTTATCTCGCCTGTCGCTCCATCTCCATCTCCATGTCTGTCGCATTGTTGTTAGCCGAATGTTGGAAAATGTGTTCTGTACTCCCGTACTTTTTCCTCTCTTGGGCTCGGGCAGTTTTTTTTATCCCTATCCACCCGGGCTAAGTGTAATGCATTGCACTTTGTAGTAGTTGCTGTCGCTGTCGCACACTCGAAAGTGAAATGAAGCTGAAAAATGCATTTGCACTCGCGTATGCAGTTTCTTCTTTTTTTTTCTCTCCTCACTCGACACAGTATGCCAAATGCAATTTTCGGGCAATTTGTGCAGCAAGTTTAGCATTTTGCCATTTTTTATTCCTTTGCTTAGTCACGTACTTACCGGATATAAAACTGATCTCGGATAGCATAATCCATTTGACAGCAAAGTACAAATTGATTTTCAGATATTTGCCCACACGGTGGTGCAGCTTAATCGTAACATCTCGTGCATGATCCATTATGGTATCGGGCATATAGGAGAACTGTACGGGCTCGCCAGAGAAGTAGCGTCCACCAATGCTAAAGAAGACTTTGGCATGGACAAAGACCTACGGAAGAGATGGAGAGAAAGTAAAATAAATAAATAAGTTAAGAGAGAAGAAGAAAGCTAAGAAAACTAATTCTAGTAAGTATTTATTCTAACTTATACGAGTATTTTATAACTTAAGTTATAAAAGAATCGTAAGATAACTAGACAATAAAATTATATTATATGCAGAATACAGGAAACTTTGAAGAAGTATTGATAAAATAATTTGTTCTCACTTTAATTTGGATAAGAGCAATTACAATGTAAACTAAAAATTTAACTCAACCTTTCCAACTGCCCCGAAACATCAATAACATGCTTAAATAATGCCTTCAAGTCCAAATTGCTTTCATAAATCATATGGAATAGGACCGTCTTTGGACTCACCTGAACATCCTTGGTGTACATGTTGTTCGTATGCAAAATGATGGCGCTGAAATTGCGCACCGTATCGAATTCGAAAACAATTTCAACGGGTTTACCCATCAGGCCTGGCGTATCATTTCTCCAGCCAATCCATTCATAGCCTAGAAAGAAAAAAAAAATCAAGCAATAAAATATCATATATGATAGTATATTTCAATGAAATGTATCATCATTCTGTGGAACTAAGGTTGTTATTTCCCCCACAGCAATAGGGCAAAAAAAAAAAAAAAAAAAATCAATAGGCCAGCCCGGCGGCAGGCACATATGCTTCGGAGTGGCATGTAAAGCTATTTAAGCCAACCAAGTCAATCGCACATTGGGGTGAAGTTTTTCATAGCCCAAAAAAACAAACAAACAAATGCGCACGGCAAAGCCCCACATAGTAGGGGGTGGAGGGCTGCGAAGGGGATGGAGCTTCGTAACTAGAAATTATGGCCAACGCGACATTCAAGCCGTTTCTTTCCACTCTTTCAGCTCGCATGGCCCTAATTTGGGCAGCTGCCCGGCGTGCTCAGAGAGTGAGAGCGAAGCTAACGTGCACGGCTTAACTTAGCTTAGCGACCCCAGGAAACCCATTCAAGTTACGCTGCATAAGTCATGCAATATTAGCTGCAGTCGACTATGCTAACAAGCTACGAAATTATACAATTTCAATCTAGCTGCGTGTCCACATATCGATGGCAAATTACGCCAACTGCCAGGACATAATAATCGTATCGAAAATTGCCATTCAATAGTCAACGATGAATAATGAAGGTCTGGATTTTGGAAAAATAATGCGCTAAAAACTTTTACACTAACACTGCAATGTTTGTCTGTCTGTCTGTCTGTGTGTGTGTCTATGTCTGTCTGTCGCGACGACGACTGCATGTCTAATTGTCTGTGCGAACTTTTCTACTTAAATTCGCACAACGCAAACTTTTCAATAATTTCGATTATTGGCCATTCGCCAAAGCGCCAGCCAAATGGCAAAGTGGGATAAGTGTGAACGGGTATGTCCTACTGCGTAATACTCGGTCGAGCAACAGGCAGATGTAAAAGCAGAAAATGTTTAATAGACTTTTGATTATATACGGATACTATTGAGTACTGAATCTACTCAACATTCTATGTTTTGATTAGAGCAAAGTCTATGAGTATTGTTAGATATCTAAGATTAGATTGGACGAAAAAATGTACTCAAATATTGCGGTATTATGAAACAACTCTGAGTGTAAATACAGTAGGATCTCGATAATTCGCAATAGCAAGGGGATCATTTTTTTTTTTTTTCGATTTACACACAATTATAGAGAACGAATTTCTTTCAAAGAGATCGATTTTTTCGATTTGTCGCAAGTTTTCGATTTACCGGGGTACAAATTATCGATACTCGACTATATATGCTTTCAATATAAGGCAAAAAGGCTAGCTCTACCCACACTCCATATGTTCATATAACTTGTTCACCCTAGAGTTAACCAGTTCAGTTATGAACAAGTAGAGCATCACCTATAGCTTCAAGTAATATATTCAAATATACAAGTCAATGGTTGGCTGTGGAACTGGCTATGTAAGATATGCTACTTTTATATCTAATTATATTATATCTATATCATTCAATTCTAGAATCTTAAGAACCAACAAAAGAGAATTTTTTAGTCAAGCTAACTCAAGCTGGCCTCGACTTACAACCAATATACTCCACTTCACGCCGCTACACTCAGCGGAAATGAATAGTCAAATATGGAGAGTGAGCGAGCAAGAAGCGGCACAAGTTGAGAAAAAATCGAGACTTGTGCAAATTCGCAGTTTGGCAGTTGTGAAGTTTTGCAGCAGCCACGGCGCGCCGGCAGCGCGGAAATGAATGCCAGCGTTGCCATAAATTATCAAATATGCATAATGTTTACATTTTTAGAGGCGCGCATAGTTCACAGGGTGGTTCAGTTGACTTCAGTTCAGTTCAGTTGGGTTCGTTTCTGTTTGGTTTCGGTCGGACTGAGTGCGTTTTCTGTTTCCGGCCAAGTTTGGCTGCGACGCCAGCAAATAGTCCATAGTTATTATTATTTATTTTTGTTTATTGTGTTGCGAGGCAAATTATTTGCTAGCCCCGAAACTTTTGCCTGGCTATGGCTCGGCCACGCCCTTGAGCATGAGCCGCCTAGCCGCGCCCCCATTTGGAGCCCACAGACGATGCTCAATGAAGTGAACTTTCGGCTCGGTCGCCCTGTTTTGGAATTTGCCTTATGCTTTTTGCTGGCGGTGAACTTTTGTAATTATTTGATGTTAATCAGTTTTTTTCCCATTGCAATAAATCTTGGAGTGTATGTGTGTGTGTGTGAGTGTGTGGGCGATTTCAGCAACTAAAAACAGCCCGATTTTTGGGCTAAATATATGGAGAAAGTTTGCAACGTGTTTATGTAGATGGCGAACCTTAAAAAAAAAAAAAATAGCAGACCCCAGTGAACTTTTAGCCATCGCAAGTTTGCCTAAATACACAAAAGGTTTAACTTTTTTTGGTGTGGTTAAACTTTTTTTTTTTTGTGTTTAATGAGCAAGGTGCGTCTAAGTGAAATATTTGTTTATTTATGTGTCTGATGCAGATTACTGCATTTGCAATATATAACTTTGTAAGCTTTATGAACGTAACTTTTTAGAGTCCAAATATGCAAGAGGATGCTAACTGAAATTAAAGTTTCATTTAAGGTGTTTAGAAAGTAGAATATCGTTCACTTAAAGATTATGGAATATTAGAAAATCTCTTGCAGCATTAACTGTATACATGTAATACGTAACTCTTTTCAAAATTTAATTCGAGTAATCAAATAGAGTCTTTAATGTGTTTAAAACTGACTCAAGGCTATACAAAAATGTTAAATAGCTCAAAATGTACCTTAAAGGGCTCTTAATTCGGGCTCTTAATTCTTTGAGGTCATCGATAAAGTCTATGACATGTATGATCAAGATTCCTAAATTCTAATATTAATTTTTTTATTATTATTATTATGTTGTTGATTATAATTACTTGAAGAAGCTGTTCGAATTTTTACTCTTGCAACACATTTTCTCTGATTAATTTAATGCTAAGCCCCTTTTTTAAAATATTTGAAATTTACTATATTTGAATTTTATTTAATTTATTGTCTCTTTGTTTACTAAGTGGGAATCTTATTAAACTTATTGCTGTTTTTTTTTTAAGTTTAAATTTTAGAGCTCTTTAAATATTTTTATAAAATATAGATAAACTTTATATAAATTTGATATTATTTTTTAACATGGTCAATATCGACTTACCTTTGCCAAAGCCATGTATATCGGTGCGGAAATTGTCCTTGCCCTTCTGTCCGTCCACCAATTGACCCAGGCCGTCGACATAGCGATCGCCCTGCTCATTGCCATCGTAGGTCTTGTCCGACAGATCCACCTCCATGCCACGCTGCACGCCTTTGGGTATGCTATACGAAACAATGCCCTCTGCAAATAAATGAAATGGAGAATTTAATAAAGCGACGCAGTTCGTGGAAAGGAACAAAAACTTGAAAACCTTCTTTCTAAGGCAACATGAGACGCCTACACGTGCATTGAGACAGAAACATATATCATGTATAAAGAAATGTACTATATATATTCGTTCGTCACGTCACGACTCGTCACGTTTCGTGTCACGTGACACAGACAAACGAGTGACAAAGCCTCGAGTTTGTGTGTTTTTCCGTTGGGTTTTTAAACTGCGGTAAATTTTAAAGTTTTTCCCCCACTTTGCAAAAGCTGGCAACAACTTTGTGTAGGGGCTGAGCGGGGACTGAGTAGGAGTTGAGGAGGATATTGAGTTACTTGAAACATAATTTCGTTTTGCGGCCACTTTTGTCTTTTGTCTGCTATTTGGTTTCTGCGGTTATTTTTAGCCCGAGTGCGGATTGGGGGAAGTTTACAGTTTACAGTTTTCTGAATTGGGGACTTCAATGTTGCATGTGTGTCTGTGTGTGTATAAATATATATATATTTGGCTATAGTTTTTCAATGTCAAAGTCACAGCGGCTGACACACAACAAAAACAACTGAGTCATGGTTTTTGTGGCAGAGTTTATAAAGTGTTTTGATGTTTGCCCAAGGATTGCTACAGCTTAAATACAGAGAGCGAAAAAAAAAAAACAACATGAACGTGTTAGCTAAGGGCTTAAAGAACAAACAACACCTGACGCTAATTACCGGAGAGATAAGTATATACAAAACAATTACAGTTGTATCGACAAAAAAAAAAAATAAATAAATAAATGAAGGGAACAGGAACAGGAGGAGCAACAACAATTGCTCGGGTTGCCAGGGCACTCACTCTAATTACACACAAAGCTCAGGCAGGGTAGGCAACGGAGAGAGAGAGAGCGAGAGCGAGGGGAGGGTTGCCTGCCTAATTTACTAGTATTTCTATTTGGACAGTTGAGCTCGTGGCACAAGCCAGGACACACGAGTTAGATAGATAGACAGGACACGGCAGTCAAAGGCATTTTCCAATAATTACCAAAAATCACATAATTATACATAATTACGAAGCGCAGGTTAGACGCATTGAACGCAGTCAGACAATTGAGCAGAGCGGAAGAAGGGAGGGAGGGAGGTTAAGGAGTGGAGTAGCTGCAGAGCAGCCTGAGTTTCATATTAATTATTATTTAATTTATTTACAATGTGTGGGCAGTTGAACAACAACAACTACTACAACAACAACAACAACAACGAAATGAAGTACATATAAAAGCAACGCCACACTTAATTACAGAAATTAGGGCAAAGTCCTTGTCGCGGCCACTTAAGCGCAGAGGCCGAGAGATAAGCCTTCATTAAACGAGTACACGACACATCCACATATACATGTACACATCCACATATATGTATATACTATATAGTATATGTCGTATAAAAAGGCATATGGGTTATTTAATTAACTGCAAAGACATTTAAGGCAGCGCGTTTTACAATTGCGTCGCGACATCTTTCACGCAATGCCCACATGTAGCCATCGGCAGCCCCCTTCCCCCCTTCCCGTACCCCTCGTCGCTTTTGGCTGGAGCCTTTGGCCACGGTTTGGGGCCACATCCACTTAAGCCCTGTTATTCGCGTGCTCACATGCGATTTTTATTTGCGTGTCGAGTGAGCGAGAGACAAGATGGAAACTGCCCAAAAACAAAATAAGGAAACAAAACGTCGTCCTCGCAGTGCGTGCAGTGGCTGGAGAAAACAAGCCAAAATCGGGCGACTACAATACACTCTATATATATATACATACCCAAAAAAAAAAAAAAAATATATATATATATACATGTATTTATATGGAATGTAATTTGCTTCCCTTTTGCCAGGTCTGGCGTCACGCAAACGATGTCTGCAAACTTTTGCTGATGAGTCAAATTGAGCAGCAGTTGAATGCATAAATGAATAAATAGATACTTAGTCGGTCGACGAAGCTGGCTAACCTACAGCATTTTCCTTGTGAGCTGAAATTGTTTTCTGTTTTCTGTTTTTTTTTTTTTTCTGGGTTAACAGATAAGCAGCAAGTTATCAAAAGGAGGCAGAGATGTGGGACCAAGCAAAGGCCATGTTAAACTCATCTCTGTTTTGGAGTTTCCTCAGCTCTACATCAAGTGAAAGTTATCCAAAGAAGTGGAACAGCAAAGTTGAGGTAAGAGAACAGAAATTCTTTATGGAACTATAAATATAACGGACAATCGAAATTGTAATATAATATGTTATATTATATTTAGAAAGCTCTTTAAGTAATAGACAACAACAAATTCAATTTTAGAAATCCTTTCCTCATTTGAATTAACATTGGCTCGAATTATGAGCACTTTCTTTAAACCTTAATTAAAAAATCTGACCAAATGAAACTGAATTAATTTCGCTAAAAATAAAATTCATATGCATATAATTTAATATGATTTCATTGATTAATATGATTTTGAGCAAACAAAAACAAATTTGTTTTTTTTTTTTTTGGCTAAATTTTAATTTTTAAATAATAAAAATAAGTAAATAAAATTGGCCAAATTGGTGAATAGGTTTGGCTAACTTTTTAAGAAAAAGTTTTAATTTAAAATGTACGATTGTCAAAAAATATCAAATATCATATTGATATTTTTTCAAAGCATAAAATATCATCGATATGATATTTTAAAAGTTTTAGCTTAGGCTTAGCCACAGTTCATTTATAAGCCCCATTCGCTTATCAGAAATCTCTTTAATACCCATTTTAGTATATTACACGATTTAAATGCCAGCCTACACTCGTTTCTCATTTTTCGTTTTCCACCAAACTATTTCACACTCTTAACTGATACGGCTGCCACAGTAAGCACTCCTACACAAAGACCAACGATTAAAGCTCAGCTTTCAATTTACATAATGAACAGCCGCAGCAACAACGAATAAAGAGGGTAAAAAAAAAAAAAATCTTAGCTAAAGCGCTCATAAATTATGCAGCGCTCATAAATCTGGAGCTCAACGCTAATCAGTTGTTGCATTTATAATAGAAAATAGAAAAACCAAATCAAATGCACTTTAGCCAAGCCGAAATCGGCATTCCAAGGGCTAAGCTGTTGTTAAATCGAAACAAATTTGTATTTAGCCACGATGTGAAATCAGAGTGTGTCACTTGGCCCGAAGATAATCTGCAGCCATGACGTGACCAGAGACTCGGAGTTCCCTCTCGCCCTACTCCAGTTGGCCCATTTGTTTATAGACGGCGCTTCCAACCTAGGTGCGGTCGTCTCGACCGCTCGTCCGTCCCCCTGGCCGTGTAGGTGTGTCCATTGATTTGCATTTAAATGCTGAGCATTGGAAGTCGCGTTGCCAGAATTTATGGCCACAATCTATAAACAATTATGATTTCGAGCTAAATGTCTATCGATCGAGAGCGACGCCGCGTCCAGCGGAGTTTTGTCAATGCGCTCGTTACTTGGCAGCTTTATTGATTTCCTTGTCTGGCACTTGTCTAGACCTCCCATAGCCCACGACAACTTATCTCATTTAATTTGCATATGAAATGCGCTCGGTACATCTAAATTCCCCATAGCAAATCACAATGACTGTCGAGGGGAGAGGGAGGGGGAGGGAGGAGGGGTGGGGGGTGTCGGTCAGCTTGCATGTCCAATCCCCAATCGCACTGCCACTACCACGGCCATAACCCAGCTCCCTAATTCCTTGGCAGCCATGGCGCTCAACCACTAAAGGGCGTGTGCATAGTTTTGACCCCAACACAAATGGCGCCAGTTATCGGGTGGCGCCCGTTGCCCAACCGCCCGCACCGCCCTCGTACGCCCGCACCGCAACTCCAGCCGTCGTGCATTGCGTTAATTTACGGAATAATTTCGACTTCCGCGCTTTGGCTTAATGCCGCTTGCTTCCCGGCCCCAGGAGGAATAGCCCAAAACCCAACCTGGTTCTGGTCAAACAAATTGACATTAGGCGCGCGCGTTGCTGTTGTTGCTGTTGTTGTTGTTATCGTCGACTACCTGGAAATTATAGAAAAATTTGTTTGTCCAGACTAGTTATAGTTGTTGTTGCTGTCGCCGCTGTCGTCGTTGCTGTTGTTGTTGTTGCTTGTGCACTACTTGACAATTGCGTGCAAACATCGACAACAGTCAGCCAGACGACAGCAGCAACAACAACAACAACTACAACTACAACTACAACGAGAACAACTCGCACTGGTTGTTTGCTGTTTTGGCCTGTCGTCTGCATAGTTTCTCAGCCCCATCTGGATTTCTGGATTTGGTTTCGGTTTCTGGGCATGGGCACAACCAATGTCTGCACGCGATATTTCTTCTTCTACCACACCATCTTCTCTGCTCTTTTCCATTTTTTTTTTTTTTTTTCAAGTACATTTCGCATGTTGCAACAAATCAACATTGCGTGGTAGCGCTCATGTGTTGGCCAAATGTAAAGCAGGCAGCGGGTCTCCAAAGGTGAAAGAACCAGAGGAGACACGAAGGAAGAAAGAAAACTTGGCCGGACTAGGAAACGCCCTAAGTTCTGTCGAATTGAGTTTTGTTCCTGTCTAAACTATCAAATATACGAACGAACGAACGGACGGACGGACGGAGAGACGGACGCACACAGGGAGAGACAAACTGAGGATCAGATAAGCATACGGACTGAATCAACGGGCGTACAGTCGAATGGATCGATGATCGGTTGGATGCATAGGGAAAGGGAAAAGCGAAGGGCTAGATCGACTCAGCTAATATGATGTAGATGAACGTAATCAAGAATTAATATAACTACTTTACAGGGTCTGCCACGCCTCCTGCTTTACATTTCTAGAGAGCCATACAACCCGACTTCCCATTTCCAGTGATTCTAGGGTATACGAAAACATAGGCGCAGTCATTACCATTGGATTGGATTATGCGGTTAGACTAATACGCTGACCATAATGTCATGTTTTCCTTCAGTGGAACAGCGGCGATAGGGTTCTCAAAAGAGAGAAAGAGATAGAGAGACGCGGTGTGACTGGGAGTGAGGGAAAAAGAGAGAGAGAGAGAGAAGGAAATGGCGATATCGCAGAGGGAATTCACAATTATGGCATTTCGTTTAAGGGCGATAACTCGACGAATTACATCCAATTTCCAGTTAAGCAAGACTTTAAGTACTTTCAAGCTTAAGCTTTAAGTTAAGAATTGAATTTTATGAAAATATAAACTTAAGGCTAACTGGCAGAACTTTGCTATCGCCACACTCGATGAGGCTAAATGACTTAAGCTAATGGCTAAGAGCATGCCAAGCCTTATAGGCAAAAAATGTTCGCATAGTTTGTTGCCTTGGTATGCCGCATCTGAAGCTATGCTAATGCACACATACATACACATACACATACACACACATTCATACACACTCTCTGCTAACTACACACTTAAGCCGCTTTGGCTGGCCTAATAGACAGCGACTAGGCTCGGGGCCCTGGGCACTCCTTGGTAGGCGGGCATTGGAGCGATGATAAATTAACGCTGACACTAAAACTCTGTTAGCCTTTCCGCGCTATCATTGCTCATGTCGGCTTTTTATCGCACTCGTTTCAATTCGCCTCTGGACAGTAGTAGCAGCAGCAGAAGAAGAAGAAGTACAAGAAGATGGGAAAGACACAGAAGCAAACGACTCACCTTCCCAGGGACAGCCAACAATCTCGGCTCGCAGGCAGACGGTGCGATCGTATTGACCATAGGGATATATACGTATCTTCGAGGCGAATATAATCGGCTGCAGTGCGTTCTCCACCTCGCTGTACGTGTTGATGTTGCCCGGCAAGATCTGTGGAAGCGAATGGAACGGATAAGGATTAGGATTCAATTGGGCTTGAAAAATAAATCAAAGGCAGCTGAACATCAAGAGGGGGTGGGGTGCTTACCTCCTTGCCCTGTGTGTTCTTCCAGCGCTGCCATTTGTCGAAGCCCGGCCGCCAGTACTCGAGCACATAGTACTCGGTGTACTCCTGGCCCTGACCCTTGCCGAAGCGACCCTGCGTCCGTATGGCGGTTATCACGTGCGTCTGCAGCAAGTCCACCTGCAGATATTCCTTGAGCGCATTCGATACCATATGCTTGGGGCACCAGGCACCGCCATTATTATCGGTTTTCAGTCTGCAAAATAAAGGAGAAAAGAGAGAAAAAAAAATAAAACAACAACTTTATTAATTAGCCACATGCAAAACGGTAGCTGCGCGCCAATAACCAGTTGCGCAGGAGCTGCGCTTGGCAAAGCAGAAACAAAATTTCTTATAAATTAATTGACATTAAGCGTTCGGCTGGCACCACACGCCGTCGGAGATGGAGCCAGAGTCAGCGCCAGAGCCAGAGCCAGAGCCAGAGCCAGAGCCAGAGCCAGAGCCTCAGCAGCCGCAGGCTGTGAGTCAAAGTCAGCCACAGAGTCTTAGCCACACTGACGTTTGTGGCCCCAATGGTAAGAGGGAGGCCGCTGGAGCCTGGGCCGAATGCCGTGCTGGACGTTTGTCTGGCAGCTCGTCTCGTTCGTTAAGCTGCTGCGGTTTTCCACACAGCAGGATGTTGTCTATGTAATTAAGGATTAATTTAAGTTAGACACAGATATGTGTGTGTGTGTGTAGCTCCCTGTCTCCCTCTCTCTCTGTCTCTCTCGTTTGCTCTGGCCTACACGCCCTCCCGCCACTTTAATCAATTTCGCCTTCAGCCTCGCTCGCTCCGCCTGGTATTGATATGTTAACCACTACAAATACGTTTTTCGGTTTATATTTCAATTAAGTTTTACATGCTTGATTGCATTTTGGGGCCTTAATGTTTGCCCATTATTCATCGACTGTGACTAGGCCTAGACCCCTCTGCTTGACTCCAAGCAGCAGCAGCAGTTGTTGTTGTTGTCGTTGTCTCTTTGCAAATTGCTTCATTTTCTTGCCACATCTGCCGGCTGCCGTCTGCTGTCTGCTGTCTGCTGTCTGCTGTCTTCTGTCTGCTAACTGCTGGCTGTACCTGTGCCAGCAGGTTATTGAATTTGATTGCAATATTTATTTAGTGGCCGACATGCGTTTAATGCATTTTTGCAATTTGTTATTTATTTACACTGATGCGTGTGTGTGTGTGTGAGCAATTAGTAATATCTTCCGCATCAATTGAGCGGCTTAGGCAATTCTCTGTCTCTGTGTTTCTGTAGTCATCAACTCGTCCTTTTTGTATATTAATTACGATTCTGCTCCGACTCTTGTCACGGATATTTAGTGATTCTATGACTAGCAAGGAGTTGGAGTCATATTATAGTAAAAGAATACCCCTTCTACTCAGCAGATATTCTATATGACCTATAGTTATATAGTTAATTCAATAAGTAAGTCTATAAGTCTGCAAATCTGTTCCTAAAAAGCTTTATATTTCTCTTTATTTTTTTTTTTTTAGGCTTCTTGCGTATCTAGGGGATATCAGCTTTCTCGATCTATATAAATAACACGGTTTGTTGTTTATCTCCAGAGCATAGTCAATACTGTATCCTGCCTGCCCAACTTAGAATATTGTATTGAATTTAAATGTCTACTGCGTGCACCAGGATCACCCTTACCCCAAAACATATATTTATATAGGCTTCGACTAATATTTAGTTCAAATTGCACGCTCTTTCTTTAATCATTTCTTTTCTATGTCAAATCATATGGTACTTAGCTTCCAGTGGAAATCCTTTCTCCACGACTTTTCAATTTCTTACTTACACAAATACATGTAACCAATATACTCTGCTCATTCAATAAAGAAGTAGTATACTAAGAGCCACTGTAAACACCCTTTGCTCCCCTGCAAACACTGCTCAAGAATCAATACAATCTGTTCTCTCAATAGAGACTGAGCAAATGTCGTGTGCTCTCATTGATACAAACAACAACGAATATACCCTGCTCACTCAATAATTGAGTGGTATAGTATACCACTGCAAATGCCCTTTGCTATCATAAACGAACATATTCAGAGTCTATAAAATTACCTTAAATACTCTCCTTCATAATATTCTTCATTCCACAGACACTGCCCAAGAACCAATATACTGTGTTCACTCAATAGACAAGTAGTATATAAGACTATGAATACAGACACTCACTCAATAAACGAGCACAATCAGAGTCTCTAGAGTTGTCTCAAATTCTCCTTTGCATATTATTCTTCCTTTGCTCTCCCACGAATCAATATACTCTGTTCACTTAATAGACAAGTAGTATATAAAAGTATGCCTTAAATGCTTCATTGCATAATATTCTTGCTGGCCGCAAGCACTGTGTGTGGCTTATAACACTTGCCGGCCATTACCAACTGCAATTACTTTCAAGTGCAGAGATCAAAGTTGCTTTATTAAAAAAAAAAAGAAAAACCAAACAGAAGAGAAGAGGAGCGAAAAAAAGAGAAGAAAAAACCAAACTGAAAGAGCTTCCAGAAAAAAGGTCAATTTAATCATCATAAAATTGCTTAGATTTCCTTTGGACCGCCTCCTCGCTGGAGCAGTAGCGCGCTCTTGTGCAAATAAGCCAAAGGCAGAGGAATCGGAGTGAGATACGTATAAACATCATTTAAAATGCTAATATCCGCAGTTATGTGCATTTCAACTTGACTTTAATTATTGTTATTGCCAAAGTTAACAATCTGCCCCGTCGTCGGCTGCTCATTTCAAGCGGCTGATGGACTGACTAACTGCTGCCTGCCGGGCACTGGACTCCGACTTGGACTCGGACTGGCTCTGGCTTCTAATCAAGCGCACTCTCTCTCATTCCCTTTTCTGCTGTTTTTTTTTTTTTTTAATATGAAAGAGGTTGTAAATTTAATGGCCCCTCGGCTGTTGGTCGCTGGGCGAGGTAATGAAAATCAAACAGCGCCAACTGTCATTAAACTAATCTTTGTAATTCAATAGCAACAGACGACGACCAACATGGACAACATCGTCGTCGTCGTCGTCGTCGTCAACGTCAACAGCATCAGCGTTCATGTTCGCATCCTGTCGGCCCTCCGGATCTCTCACAGATCTCTTTGGGTCCATTGCTCAGTAAGCAAATGCGCGTGATTTGTTTTAAGTGCACTGCTTTTTTTTTTTTTTACTCTTCCTCTGCTTCTTCTGCTCCCTCCTCGTTTTGTAATGAATTAGTTTAAGTTCGTTTCGAGCTGGTGGCTTTTGGGCTAGTTAGCTGCCTGGTTAGCTAAGTGCACGGCAGCCACAAATTATAATGCTGCCTGCACTTTTGAACTTTGCAGCATGCAGAGCTCTGGCTGGCTGGAACTTTAGTTAAGCAAATTGCACTGCGCTTGATTGGACTTGCTGGGTGGTAAAAGAGTCACACAGAGAACGAGAGAGAGAGAGAGAGAGAGAGAGAGAGAGAAAGAGAGAGAGGAGGGTGGGCGAGCAACACGGAAGAAAAAGACAAAAGAAAGTTTTAGCTAGTTTGAAGAGTTAGTTGATTTCGCGCTGCAGCAGTCATTGGATTAAACCCAACTCGAGTTGGTTAAAGTGAAAGGCTGCCAAGGCAACTAAGACCTTACCAAGAATTCTGCACAAAAATTTCAGATTCAGCAAAGGCAGGCAAACAGTAAAGCAAAAGTCTTTCAATTTCAAGTTGAGCATGTCATTATTTTTGGAAAATATTATTAAGTCCAATAGCTTGTGCTGCTTGAAAAGGAAGAAGCTTCAGCTTTAGAGAAGTCCATAGTTTTCATGTTAAATTTGCTTTTGCTTACTCATTTTATTTACTAGAGTAAAAAGTGAATTCGAACCTCCAATATATGTATATGAATCAGTTAATATATTGTAATATTATTACAATTATTAAATTTACTTATTATTAATTATTAATTTATTAATCCATTATTAATTTTATTTTAAACTTCTTTTATATAATTATAAATTATAGTTGATTCAAGTTTATATTATTTATTTTTACAATTCCTTTTATATATTTTTCAAAAATTTCCATAGAATTTAATATATACATTTTTATTAGCTTCTTAAATCATTCAATGCATTTCTCAAAATCGTCAAAGGCAAACAATTACAACTATTTTGATTAAATTTTTTTTTTTTTTTTTTTTTTTATATTCCGTTTTTTTTATAATCTATTCTCAACATCAACATCTTCAATTCAAATACAAATATTTTTTTTGGAAACTAAAACTAATTGAAATGTAAATAAATTATAAGCTTAAACAAAAAAAAAAATAAAATAAAAAAAACAAAAAATAAATAAATAAAAAAAAGACAAACAAACAAAATCTCAATCAAACTTCATACTTAAGACTTGTGCTAAATCGGGTTTTCTGGCAGGCCAACTCGCCTGCAGCAGCATAATAAATACATTGCTTCAGTTGGCATTAAATTTCGAGTCACTTAGCTGCCGCACCACATTGCGCTGTCAATCCACAGGCACTTTGTACAACGTGCACCGGCAGAAACCACCGCAGCACGACCACACTCAGGTGAGTGAGTCAACTGAACCATTGGCCAACAGCTAAAAGCCCGCAGAGTTGGACAACAACAACAGCAACAACAACAACATATCAAATGCTATGTGCAGACCTTAACCCCAAGCCCTGAGCCCAAGCCCAAATCCCGACATTGTCTTTAGCTTTTTGTAAGTTCAGCTCTTTAGTAAAAATTCCAGTTAATCTGACTTGGACAAAAACAAAAAAGGAAAATAAACGAAGCAAATGAAGAGCGGCAGCGGGAGCTAAAAAAAAAAAAAACATACACATATATGTATGTATGTGTGTTTGTATATATGTATATATTGTTTTGTTTATCTCAACGTGCTCATCACGCATCGTTTTGTGGCTTTACTTTAGTGCCGCCATAAAGGGTTAATGTTAATGATGCCTTTGTGGTATCCGTCCGTCTCTCCGTCTCTCCATCCATCCATCCATCTGACTGTCTGTCTGTCTGTCCATTTGTCTCAGTGGCAGCCAGCCCTGCACTTGAGTGTTTTTTAAGTGCATGTCTATAAACGCAGACGCAGCGAATTATTACTGAAAGCAAACGCACTGAATCTGAAGCTGAATCAAAATCAGAATCGGAGTCTGTGGCAAGGAGTACCACACATACATGCACATATGCAGTGTTGTTTGCATTGATTTTGCCGTAACTCACGTGGTAATTGACATGTTTATCGCTTGAATGAGTGCTTTACTTTATAGAGATATGCGTACATATATAGACCATATAGTTTGAGCACTGATATCCTATACTAATTATACAGCTCCTCAGCTGATGCTGATGCTGATGGTGTCATCAATCATTTGCAATGAGCCAACGCAACGCAGGCGATTGCAAAACTTCCGCCCCAAAACTCTTGACCCGCATTGCCTCACACTTCCCCCGGACTCGCAATCGCTGGCCGTCGGCCATAAAACTTCAATTCACAAGAAAAATGCGTCAATAAAAAGTAAACAAAAAATTTAAAAAAAAAAAAGAAGAGGAAAACCTCAAACTAACAGAAAGAAATCACTAAACTCGTCTAGCCAGCTGGCAAATGCATTCATTTCATTTGATTTCATTTAAGTTTAGTTTAGTTCAGTTCCCTTTGGTTTCTTTGCTTCTGCTGCCCTTTGTGTGGACCGCCTGGATAACCGGTTTGCGGTTTGCATTGAAATTGCATTTAATTAGTTTAGTTGGGGTGCGAGGGAAGGGAGTAGGTAGCCAAAGAGATAGCTATTAAACGGTTGCTCGTGCTCTATTGCATATTCATGAAATGAGTCCCATAACCCAATATCCGATATCTCCCAAAGCGCGCTAGAGTATAAATATATATATATATATGTATATGTATGTATTTCTCTCGCACTGATATGCAAAAACTTTAGTTTTTATTTGTTTGGTATTTTGATGATGGGCGACAACTGTTTGTGTCATAACATAAATTTGTTTTGCTTTTGTTTGTGTTTGTGTTTGGTTTTCTTTTAGTTTTCGATTTGACGCTTCTCAGATTTTGGAATTTCGATTTTATAGACTCTCTGTCTGTCTTATCGCACTAATGAAGTTGTCTACTAAAGCTTAGCAATTAAACGAACACGCTTCAGAGTTCATAATCATCTGTGTAGTCAGAGAAAGACAGAGAGAGAGAGAGAGAGAGAGAGAGAAGGAGGGATCAAAAGAGAGAGAGAGAGAGAGAGAGAGAGAGAGAGAGAGAGAGAGAGAGAAGGCAATTGCGGCAGCCGAGGTTTAAGTGCGTGTCAAGCTGAGAAACTTCTCCCAATTGAGCAATAAAAGAACAGTTAAAGAGGCATTGCTTAAGCAAAGCAGAGTTTCATTAACGACACAAAATTGAAGGAGAAAGACGAAAATAATAATGTAGAATATAATATTGTATTTAATAATAACAATAAGAAAATTCTTTCTAAAAAGGCTCAGATTCATTCCAAACAACGATCTCTTTCAATTCTAAAGCAATATTTTAATATTTGCTGTTTATACTGCAATACTTAAATTTTATAAATATTAACATCTATATTCAGTAGTGTTATTATTTTATTACATATATTTCAATTCACAATTTATTTTCATGATTGTCATAGTAACATTATTCATATATATTTTTTAATTTAATTAAATTTTAATTTTCAAATTTATAACCAATAGATTGAATATATATTTTTTATATTTTATTTAAAATTTGTTTATTTATTTTGTTTTGTATTTTACTTTTATTTTTATTATTTTTACATTATGTTAAATGAATAAGTTTTATTTATTGTTTTAAATAGTAATTTCAATTTATAATATATGTAGTATATTCAATTCATTTTTTTTTTAGTTAATTAAAATTTTTAATTTGTTTATTTTTGTATTATTTATTATTATAAGATTTTATATATTTTAATGTATCTATTTTATTTTTTAATAATAATAATTTTCATTTTATATATTAAAATTATATCTTTTATTCATAAATGTATTTTATTTAATTTTCTTATTATATTATATAACTTGAAGTCATATATAATTTATTATTGTATTTACTTTATATAAAATAAATCAAATTTCCGCAACTCACCTTGCATGTTGTGGTCCAACAAAGCCCGTATCATGGGCTGAGCTAGCTGTGATTTGAGCATCTGTGATTGCGCCCGATTCCATGCCCAGAGGCACATTGCATGTAGCTGCAAAATAGAGACAGACGAGAGAAAATTAAAAATTAGAAAAAAATATTAGAAAATCTCAAAGAAATAAAAAGTACTTTAATTAATGATGGATGCGCTTTGCGCATCGTCTCATGGACCGCAGCATACATCAGAGACGAGCTAAAAGTAAATTTAGCTGTGCCAAGTGAAGCTGGGGCAACGCCCATTAAATCTATCAAAATAAGTCAAGCGTCAATTAGACTTTTTTGACATTTGAACGAGGCAGATGCAGGCACGCCCAGTGCCATTTATGCTATGTGCTATGTGCCATGTTGGCCAGTGTAGTGGGTAGGTAGGGCCTATCACTTTCCCATGGCATTGCCAGAGGAGACTATCTGCTTTTTAAATAAGGCAAACACTTAATCATTGCCAAAGCCAAGCCAAGCCAAGCCAAGCCGGACAGAACGTCAACTACTTTAGTTAATTTATTGCCTACCGATTGCATTTTGCAGATCCCCCACTATTCCCCTTGTCACCTACTATGCCTTTTGATGTGAATTGAAGTTGATGCTGCGCCCCCGCTGCCGCCCCACTGCCAGCTGTCTGGCTGGCTGTCTGTCTGACTGGCTGACTGGCTGTCTGACTGCCTGCTGACATTTTCGCCAGAATCAACACTGATTTGACATGACTTTTGTTGCGCACAGGCACAGCATGGACCAGCTTCCAGTTACCGGCTCAATATACTGACTGCATTGCATTGCCTCCTGCCCAAGGTGCGTGCATTCGTTTAGAAGTTTATAAATAAACACACTCACTGACACACACACACATGCCTAGAGAACCTGGACGAATCGCTCTTTGCATTCGCACTTGATTGGATTTGATAGCTGGCAATGCTAATGGGAACTGAAAGCTGCTCTGCAAAAGGCTGGACTGAGAGATCTAGGACCGAGTCGAGGCGACTCGTTGGGATTCGGTTTGGTTTGGTTCGGGTCAGAAGCCGTGGCGTTGCCTTCAACTGCATATTGCAAGTGTATTCATTTGGAAAATTGTTGCATGTTTTGCTAACTCAACTCAATGTGTCTAGCAGCAACAACAACAACAACAGCTACAACAACTTGAAACAACTCAGGCACTTCCTCTTGCTTATTTGCTTATGTGTTTTTATGCTGAGGGCGGGCGGGGTGCACAAAGAGCAAATATTGAAGGCAGTCTAGTTATAGTCCAAGTAGAGAATTGCCTTCGAACATGTTTATAAATTCGTATTTATGTATTTGGCTTGCTTGATTAACTATAAATATTATGGCTTAGATTTGATTTACTAGACCAGAAGACAAAGGCAGACAGACGCCTAGCTCTGTTTATGCAATATGACAGCTGAAAGTTTGCAGGAAAACTTGCGGTCGACTCCAGGAAAATGCATATACATAAATAGCAGAAGAGCTGCAGACGAGCAGAAAACCAGAAAACTAGAAAACTTATTACCAAACTATCAAATAAATGAAAATACATTTTCCTTCTCACTCTCTCTTTCTCCCTCTCTCAATGCTTTTCATTTCAGACGCAACACAACTGGTTAGAAATGGGAAATTTGTAAGAATATTTTTAGGTATGTAAAACAATTTAATTGAGTCAATCAAAATTATGTATAAATGGATTTATAAAATATTTAATAGCATTCCTTTATGTCCAACTGTATGCGCATAAATTGTAGTGTGACTGAACGCAAAATTAAGAGAAGAGAAAAGTCAATTTGAAGATAATTTGCAAGGAATATTGAGAATAATATTTTTTATGAAGCATAAAGATCATATGAACTTAATTGAATTGTTCTTGAAAATATTAGCGACTAGGAAAAAAGGGTAAAATACATTTATAATTAAAAATAATTTAATTATATGAAATCATATTTACGTATGAATATAAGTTTTTGGATCTAAATGATTATTAATTGAAAAATATTTTTGTAGTAAAAAATTAGTTTTTTTTTATTTTTATTTTAATTACTTACTTTAACAATCTGAATGAGTTAAAACCAAATTTATGGCAATAAAATTCATTTGAAATATTAATTATTAATTTTAAATTTTACAAAATTGCTTGTCATTCACTAAGCTTGCTTTTCATATCGATTATTATTTTTAAACAATACTATCAAAATATTACTCCATTCAATTAACGTCTTTAGCAGCTCTTCAGTCATAATCTATAGGTTCATTAGCAAACTAATTCACAAAAGGTATTATATTTTCTTCACTATGCCAAATACATATCATATATGTATATGTATATATGTATTTATGCCAGTTTGTATTTGTATTTATGGCATTGTAATGCTAGCGCATTTGCGTCTTAGACATTTGCTTTGAAAGTCTTCCCATGCCGCTTAGCTTTTGTTCAGTCCATCAGGCAGCCTTCGCCATGTCCCCAACGGCCTGTCCTCATATCAGCATAGAAATTTATGAGCCGCTGACATGCCAGGGCCATTCAAAGTGGCCATAATCCTAACTTAGCAGCGACCCCAAGCTACCAGCTAGCATTGCGACTACCGCAGTATGGCTTCATTAAAGCCAGCAGCAACTACTGTGTGTATGTGGCTGTGTGTGTGTGTGTATTGGAAATTTCAGCACAAATGTTTAGAGGCTGCATAAAAATGTCCATATGCCAATTAATGTGCAGGAGAAAGAGCTGAAGCTGAAGCTGCATCTGCAACTGCAACCACATCTGAGGCTGTGCCTTGTCAAATGGGACGCCCCATGGCGCACTGGCCAGAGGCCACCAACTGTGCCGCCTGTCGCCTGGCCCAAAGAATGATGAGCCACATAAAAATGTGCTTTCAATGTCAATTAAAATACATTTTGCTTGAATTGCAGCAGCTCCCCAGCCCCAACCCAATCCAAGTCTGGTCCAAGCCCAGCCAAGTGCCATCTGAATCAAATCAAAATAAAGCCATTTTCGTCTTTAATGATGCCAGCAGCGGCAAACTGATAAATGTGTGCACCTTTTGACTTGCCCGTGACCCGAGAGTTCACTTAGTTTGATTTGTCAGATAAAACGATTCGTCGTCGTCTACTCACCAATATCGAAAGCTGCAATTGCTGGCGCATTGAGCATTAAACAGCCGCTGGCAATGATCAATGCCAAGAGGCTAAGGTTCCAATTGCCAATCCCATTCCCATTCCCAATCCAGTTTCGTGTCGGCCGAATTCGACGCGACTCTGATATCGATGCTAATGATGATGGGGTTGTCGTTGATATTGAGCGGGGATAGGTGGAGCGCGGGGAGGAGCTGGAAAGGCACTGGCGGGAGAACATTTTGTCGCTAGAATTATTTAGACTCTGTGCGGCTAAACTGTGCGTCATTTTGCCGAGAATTATTGTGAATTGATTGATGTTGGCCTAGCAGTGAGATCTGTAAGATAGGAAAGAAGAAGAGAAGTTTCAATTAGTATTTAAATATATAAATAGTTTGATGTAAACTATAAAATTATTAGGATTTAGATGAAGAAGAATATCTATTGTTTCTTAAATAAATATAATGAATTGATTATATTATATCTAATTTGTTAAAGTTTATTTATTTATTTTTTTCATAAATATAGTCTAAATATTTCGCCTTTCTATGCGATTCTCAGGCTATTTTGTCTACTTTTATTTTAATTTTCTATTACGTAATTTAATTAAATTAATGATTAACAATTACAATACAAATCTGTGCCTTTCTATGCAATTCTCAGCACATTTTGACTAGTTTTGCTTAAATATAATTATATTAGTATAAAAATATTGTAAATTTTGTATACCAACTCCATTCTTATTACATCATTTTCAATTTTCACCCATTTCCATTATTGCAAATACGTAAAAGATACATTGATTAGGTATAAATAAAATGCGCCCCTCTTTGCAATTCTCAAAGCTTGTCTAATTGCATTTGTAGCTTGATTAGATATTCCTGACAGTGGCCAACTTTATCTCCAGCGCTTTTACAATGACAGCTCATTTCAGTCGAGCGCCTCTCTATGCGCTTCTGACCCCCCCCCCCCCCACGCAGACAAACACATTCAGTTAACGTATGCGCTGCTCTCATTGCAGGCCGCTTTCGCTTCTAATTAGTTTTGCTTAGGGTAGTCCCGACTGCGACGCCGCCTCCGCCGCCCACATCGCAACTCATTAAAATTAAAAGACATCAAAAGAAATTTGCAAACTAAACACAAACATAGAGGCGACGGCGGCAGCAGCTGTTGGACTGCGCCTAGAATGTCCTTTTGCGGGTCCTACACAAGCACGAGCTGAGCCCGGCACGTTCGCTCATCTGCTGCCCGCCTTTTGTGCTACCTTTTGCCCTTTTCTTTTTTCTGTTTTGTAGCTTTTTCCCTTTTTCTCTTTCATATAAATTGTGTGCCGCACGCTTTGCATAAACTAAATAAATTTCTTGGCCACCCGCCTTACGGCCATGTCATAAAGTGGGCTGACTGGGATTTTCGACGGTCCAGAGCTTTTGGAGGGGGTGTAGGGTATCCACTGGCAGTGAGTGCAGCAGCTTCTGCTTTAAATTGCTGCGCCAGCTGACGGGCTTGGGTCGATGATGCGGCTGCTGCTCCTGCTGCTGCTTCTGCTTCTTCTTTAGCTGTAAGCCAGCGTTAAATTAAAGCGGAAACTGGCTTGTGCCGACATAGCGGAGAGTGGGGCTGGAGTGCTGTTCGCTTGTGACTAGGCAGTCAACATGTTTGCTTTTGGCCGCTTTCTATGGCTCACATATCTCGGCCGGAGCAGCTGCCCCGATCTGCGTCTCCATCACCGTCTTTGTCTCTGGCAAAATTGTTGCAAAATAATGTTAAATGAAAAGCACAAAGTCATTCAGGCACAGCCTGGTGTGAAGGGGGAGAAGAGCGAGAAGCTAGATGCGCACATGCCGCCTCATCCGCTGACGACGTGTCGCTCCCCCCTCACCCTGCGCTGCCGCACTTTCTGTTGGTCGGCATCCTGCGCGTCATCGTCACGCACATTCACTTTGCATTCATTCAACTCGAAGGCAGTCGGCGCTGAAGTCGCCGTCGCTGTGGAAGCTCCCGGCGAAGAGCAACGTCGCCAGCTGGCATTGCTGTTGTTGTTGCCTTGGCTTTTTGGCAGCAATTGAGTTTGAGATTCATTCACAGTTAAAGCCAAATGATGCGATAACCAAACGTGCTTTCTAATTCCGCAGACAGCCACAGATTGCGCTGAGAACCATTCAGACAGCAAACCGAAGCTAAGAGTCAGTTAAAGCATAAAACTTGACTACTCAAGTGACGGCGATTCTCATTTCAAGCGGATCTATGAGAGAGATTGAGCGAGAGACCCACCTGAAGGTATTGATACTATATATTGAAGTCTTACATAAATACTTAAGAATAATTTTTTTCTCATAGAATTTTAACGGTTCTGAGTTATATTCTATTCTATTCAGAATAAAATTCAATTAGCTGAACAAGATTATTATTTCTATTAGAACTTTTGAACTCTTTAGGTAGCTCAGAAATTTTAATTGAGACGAAATTTAAGAGAATCTGGAGAAAATTTCGATATAATTTAGTAGAAATTTATATAGAAAATATTTAAAAAAATTAAGTTTATATATAATTTTTTTTTTTTTTAATTTTGTAACAAGTTATATACAAATTATAAGAAAATTTCTTAATTTCTTAAAAATGTATATAGAAATTTGTTCTATCAAATCTCTTGAGCTCATAAACTTTTTCTCTATTAAAACATTCTAGATTAAATCAAAGTTTCCTTCTTTAAAATAATCTCCTAATTAAGTATTTAATATAAAGATAAATAATGTATAAGAAATGCAGGTATAAAAATATGTAATAAATTATAGAAATTTGCAATACAAAAATCAATTTTCCTTTGATAAAAATCTTTCTGAAAAATCCAACTGTGACTGACATTAGGCATTCATTCTTAAAGAAATGTTGCTCTACGCCTTGTTCAGATTCGTGCAGTTCCATATTTTACTATGCAACTCCAAAGTCATCTGTCTTCGGAGTCAACTGCTGTAATATTACCAAAACTTTCCTTTGGCATATTTATTTTTGCATTCCACGACAGCTAACGAGATCCTCGGCTCAATTTACGTGCAGCCAGGCCAAGGCGATGCCCACATATAGCTCCGCTCCTGCACTGATGTTTATCTAACAAATGTGTCCATTCTGCTGGCAGAGCTGGCAACCTGAGCAACCTTATCGACTGCCTGATGACTCCTCCGCCCGTCAATTGCATGCACATGCAAAAAAAAAATAAACACAACAGCAACAACAACAAATGGGCAACGTCATGTGGCAATTTTTCACGCAGAGGCAGCTGCTGCAGATACAACAGCACCCCCACCCCCAGTGTGTGTGTGAGTGTGTTGGTTTTTCCCTTGACTCTTGTCAATAACTCAGCGCTTAATTGCTCATCTTTCAACGTCGCAGGGCGCAGGTACTTTGACTCAGCAGCCCAGCGGCAGCCTTTGACGCCCAGCACAGCCGAAACAAATTAGAAAATTCTCAACTGCAGCAGGAGAGCAAAAAAGGAACCAGAAGAAACCCAAGTAAGAACTCTGCAAGCAAGCGTAACCAACTGTGAGATGCTTGTTGGCAGTTAAGAAATATATCAGATTTATATATAGAGTTTTGATAGCAAGTTGTTATAGTTAAGTAGCAAAAGATTTACTTTCAAATTTGCTTACTTTAACTCCGTGTATTTCTCTAGCTTTTTATTGTCACAGTTATCGGAGGTAGATTATTTCTATATACTGATGATTTGCTCTTGTAGTTCAAAGGCTTAAACAGCTGAAGCTTCTATTAATTTTTCGTAAAGGGATTTCCATTTTTTTAAAACTATTATTTTATTTTATTTTAAATACAAAAAAATGCGCTTAAGATTCAATATATATTATGACATTAACTTATATAAACTAATTCAATTTAGCATTTATTATTCCATTTTAAAGTCAGAAAGTAAATTATTTATTATATAATTTAATTTTAATTTAAATACATATAAAATATTTATATATATATATATATATATATATTTATATATATATATATATATATATATATATATATATATATATATAAGTTAAAAATACTTTTTATTTACGTTTTTCACTCCATTTCAAAGCCTCAAAATAAATAATATAATATATAAATATATTAAGTTAAAAACATAATTTTTTTTTTATTATTTTTTGTATACCTTAATAATAAATAATTAAAGAATAATTTATTTTTGATGTTCAAAACTTTTAATATTTTTATAGTTATTATCATAAAACAATAAAACACATGAGAAGGAAAGAAAAGCATCAATCAAGACTTAGACTCGCTTCTCAATCTAATTTACAAAACGAAAAGAGTATATTGGCTTCAATCTATTCACTCTACAGTCATGTAAATGAAAACTCTGTCAAGCCAAGACTCTTCTCTCTACCCCGTCTTACAGTCCCTAGAGTGAAGTTCTTTAGAGCCAATCAACTCTCTTCGCTCTTTGTGAATGCGCATAAAAAGCAACTGCTTGACAAATGCCGCCTGTCATAGTTGTAACTGGCTGTGCTTCATATGCGCCACAGCAACCGCAGCAACCGCAGCACTGCCACAGCGATCCACCGAAATAGCGATCTGGCAATGCAGCGATCTTCAGGCATCCGACTGCCTCCTGCTGCACCGCACAATGTAGGTTAAATTAATAGTGACACTCGCTCTGGAGCGGCGAGCGCGTGGCAATGCCTTCTGGTTAGCCAATTGGCTGAATGCGGTTGCACCTGGCGGCGCTTTGAGCGCTCTCGCTTCGGCTGCAGGCTGATGCTTGCCACGTTTTGTGGCAAGTACGTGGCGGCGAGCCGTTTGTTTTTGTTGCATTTTTTGTTATTTTCTGTTGTTGCTGCGCGCGAATATTTCATAAATTGAAATGTACAGTTAGTTAATTACACGCTCAATTGGCTCTAAAAGTGGCATTAGGCCAGGCCCGAGCGGTCCGAGCGGCCCGACTAGCCGGCCAGCAGAACCAGCCTGGCAATTTGAGCGCAGCGACTGCATTTTTAATGGTTGTCATAAAAGATTTATCGCCCAATGCTCGGCCGGCTTTAGCGCAAAGAGGCGTTAGCAGCATATACTATATGCATATACATACATACGTATATATATGTATATGTTATAAAGCCAATTCACTGTTGGCCTGTCGATGAAATTGTGATATAATAGCAGCTAGCCAAACCAGCTGGAACGGCGATCGGAGTGTGGGAAAGGGTCAAGGCGGCAAAGGTGTGCGATGAAAACTAAATTACGTTTTGATTTTGCAATAATCAAGCAGAGGTAAAGGAACTGGATGTGTGTGTGCGTGTGTATGAACATGTATGTGAAGAAGAAGAACTAAGAGTGT